CACGTATATATGGTAATCGTACAATTGTTATATCTATATTCTCAAGATGTGCCGAGTACTACTTTAGAATTTTTATCAACTACACACTATATCAAACCATAGATAAAATAAGCAAAATATAATTAATGACGAATAATGTTTTCTCAAAGAAATTCAATTTCATTTATTATTTATATGTATAATGAGTACTTAATATTTTATATCTTTGTTATGTATAACCATAAATAAAATTTTTATCTGTGTTACAACTTTAATAGGCTTTCTACAATAAGTTTAATTAAGTTTTAAATCTAAGAAATTAAACAATCATAGAGAGTCGATTACTTCTCTGACATTCGATTGTGATTAATCGATTTCGTATGGCTTCAAACTACTTAGGTAATGGCTTATTGTAGAAAACGTCAGTATTAGTTATTTCTCCGATAAAAATTTAAATGTTTTACACTGTGATTCTTATCTGACAAACATTAAAAAGCCTAAGTTGCGCGCGCGTATTTTTATATAATTAATTTTTAATTTGTCAATTAAGTGTCAGAGTAATAACATTATGTTATGTCCTCATAAAAAAGAAATTATACATTGATAAGATATATCATACGCTCGTTGTTTTGATAAAAATACCTGATAAAAACACAAAGAAGATTTTCGCTGTCGCAGTTCTGTACATTTCGGCCTTCCTTGCTACGATCTTTCGTAGTATTATTATACGTTCTCAAGAATGTTGGAATTTCTGCACACGCCTATTCTGCAGTCCCATGGGATGATAATTTATTTATCAGTCAATTACCACGAAGCCTCATCCGTGTAATACTACAGAAACTCTCTACATGCATAAATATCGAGTTTATATGATCGAAAAAATAGAGCATAATTTATTTATTAATATAAAAAATAGATTTGCATAATTTATACAGTAGCAATTGCGTACAAGGTGAATTGTTATATGAATTTTGTGGAGGGGGGAGAGAGAGAGAGAGAGAGAGAGAGAGAGAGAGAGAGAGAGAGAGAGAGAGAGAGAATTTATATGAATTTTGTGGAGGGGGGAGAGAGAGAGAGAGAGAGAGAGAAAATAATAGTTTGATTATCAACGATTTACAAGATAATATGAGAATACGTTTATAACATTTCAAACAGTTTTCTTATTGGGTATGTTAAGTTAGCACCCCAATTATAGTACTCAGGAGTTCTGATTAGAGTTCCCACTTCCTTTCGACGAGACGAAGAGTTCCCTATAGTTAATAACAAGAGTTCCGCTCAATAAACATTTTTTTTACATTTTTTAAAAATGGGGTGCTAACTTTTTATCGAATTTCGAGGTGGAATAGTTCTGAGCGGCTTAATAGCTTCAATTTGCGATTACCTAGAGTTCCTGATATGTAAAAAAAATTTTCGAATAATAAAAAAAAAATGAAAAATTTTTGAAAAATTAATTTTTAGATACAATAGTTCTGATGATAATTCCTGTTTCTTTTTGACCCCCCCGTAATTTCAAATAGTGTTTTCGCTGCTTTAATCTATAGAACTCTTCCTAAATTTGATAGAGAACTCTAGAACTCTTCGGAGGGCAACCAGAACTCTGCTTATTTTTTCAAAATGTTGACAATGAGGGGCCAGCTTCACAGACGTGTAAACATACCATCCAACGAATCACTGATAAAAGAATAAATTCTAAGAATGTATGTCGAATATACATTATAATAATAAAGGTGCCTAATATTTTTGCATAAGAGAGGGTTGTATATATAACATTTGAAAAATAAAGAAAGAATAAATTTAGTATATCGTTGAGAGCTTGACATATTAAAAAAAATAAATTATATGTACGCTTCTAAGAAATGTGACGGTAATAAGTGCCAACAACTCTCGCAATGCGTACGATTATTGCAACATGTAAAATGTCCTTCACAATCAATTTTCAAGTACATATAGTTATTCATACATTAACAAAGAACAGAAGTAAACAAACAGCATGCTTTCATTAGAGACAATTATGAATACAATGTAAATTCTATTGAAAACATTGATTTCTTTTAAAGTTTTATGACACTTAATCCAAGTAATATTCTGTCTATTAGTTATTATTTATACGTTAAATACGTATCTCTTATATAGTGAAAGTCCAAGTCGCATCATGTGAGTCATGTCATAACGCGAGTCATGCTGATTTTTATGAAGATATTTTTATGTAATATCGTGCACGCATTCCAGAAAGATGCCCCGTAATATTGTACACATTTACCGTATATTGCGCAACAAGATGCAGTTATTTGCATTCTTTTCTTTTTTTTTTAGTCTTGTACGATGACGTTTTAATACAGAAACGTGCTGTTTATTCATAATAAGTTGTAAGCAGTTGCTCATAAAGAACAAATGCGAAAGATAAAACGTCTGCCACTGTTACGTTGTCAGTTATATGCACGATACATGTTTGTAATTGAAATACGTTGTAAGTAGAAATGAAACACACATGCCTCGCATTGTAGCCATGTTTTCCACGAAAGATGAGAAAAGACTAACTCTCAAAGCTCATTTCGGTAAAAGAACATTTAACCAAAAAGACTAAGCTTATAAAGATACTTAATATTTAGAAACCTCTCGATTTGTGTATTTAATATACATATATTTATCACGTTTTTTAAATTAAATTTTTCAAAAGATTATTTAACGAAATAAATACAAAAATACATTATAAAGAATATTTTAAATTGACGAATAAAAATATCAAAGTAAGGAAGTTTACAGAAAAATAAGTTGTAAAAGTTTTCTTAGTAATCATTTAGTTATAGTCTTTTAACCAAGAACTTTCTCTTCTCTCTCTCTCTCTCTCTCTCTCTCTAATAATGGAATTTAAAAATTATACTATAAAAGTTGAATCCGAAATATTCTTATTATTCAATCTTATCTGCTAACGTTATCAAATTGCGTATTCACTTTTTACATCATCCTGCCTCTTATTCCAATTAAACTAATTAGATCAATTGAATTTTCTAAATTAAAAAAATGCAATTTAATACCTACATAGTGTGATATGTAGGTATTAAATTGCAAATACGTAATACGTCTCTATCAGAAATAGGTCGTGATATCGGATAAGTATAGTCGATTTGTCGACAATACGAATTTACAACTGACTGACTGTTGAGAAACCGCTTTTCTTTATCGTATTCTTCACGATCGAATTGATACTGACGTATCATAAATACAATTTCCTAAGACTAAACTATAATCTTAGAACGATATAACAACGATATGTGCATCGCGCACAACTCATGAAAGTGAGGCACAATTTATGAAATAATATTGTTGAAATTTTATAAAATGTTTATTTTAGATACGAATAAATCTGTATCTATATATATATATATACACAAATCTACCAAAAATCTTTGAGACATCACATTAATGTATGTCTCGTTGCAAGTTATAATGATCCAAAATACATTTTTTAGGAACCAAATCGCGACATTTAATATTTGACATAAATAAATTGCATAACGACTAATGTTTTATGTTGAAGGAGGATAGTTCCTGATTGCGCGCGTGTGCATAAGTGTGTGTATTGAAGTTTTCACAATAAAAATAAAATCGTTATTTTTAACGTCTTATATTTTTTTCCACAACAAGTTTTATTGTCCGAGAACCGTAACCGACGATCGAGTTCGCCAAGAGAAGCGCGCTGATATAATCCTAGTCGTGTCAAAACGAGATCAAGGTTTACTTACATATTATTTATATTCCTTTTCCTCTCTTTTCTCCATGAATCACGCGTTAATATCACAGTGGTTATCATCAGATGGTCTCTTCATACCTTTACTATAGTAGAGTATGATCGTATTTAGTGATTACGAATTACGTTGAACATATTACTATCATACATATCATATTATTTATACCTATACGTGCGATATAAATTTTCCATCAGGGTTAGTCACGAACGCTTAATATAATGTGCATTATATGTTACATACACAATTTACGATCCACCGTGTTTTTCGTTTAATATTGTACAGATATTAACTATTTTTTACTCTATTTACACGGTTTTTAAGTTAGCGGAACAAAGTGAGCAACAAATAAAAATGTTAGTTAAAATCGTAATTTCTATGTAATAAGTTTTTAAGAAAAAAATTCTTGGCATTGTACATTTTTCACATACGATCTAAATATAAGATGAATATGCGTAGGTATGTAATATCAGAATGGGTCAGTTGCTTCGAACGCGCAAGTGATAATGCTAATTAAATGATTAGTGTAACTAAACATAACTTTTATAAATATTTAGTAAATATTAAATATTATCAAACAATATTACCAATGGTAATATTTACTAAATATTTGTAAAGTTAAAATTATGTTTATTTATATTAACCGAACATTTAATTAACATTTGGTTGGCAGCTATCAACAACTCTTTTTTAGCGTGAAGCACAATATTCATATTTCATTTTGTCGGATAAACTCACTTCAGACTTATCTTCGTCTACCATACATGCCTGCACGATACGATTAGTCACAGGATTTATGATTTTTCATCATCGATGTATTTTTACGTATCTCAAATATTTTATTCCTCTTGTCATAATATTTTTTTCTTTATTAATATATCATAAGAGCGTTTCAAAATTTTCTTTAATGTAATCCTGAAGCCGTGTTAAAAATCTTTATCTATTAATTACAAAGAACGTGTATTGAAAAATAAATGGGGATTATAATTGAATAAATATAATTATTTTAAGCGCTTAATTAATGAGACGATCGTATTTGTTTAAACACTCTTATTTTTCTGCATTTTTAAAATACGTTTTTTTACCACACCGAGAACAAAAAGAATGTCAATTGACATTTGTTCGAGATCGAAAAAATTCTTTCTAATATTCTATTTGTCTATTTATCTTTTTAATGTCTATTTGTCTTTTTAATATTCTATTTGTTTATTTGTCATGCGTATAAAATAAATCCGCATTTGTGATAAAATATTAATTTTACTCTTTTCGTTACAGAAAACGGTGGCACTTTGAAGATTCTTTTGAGTTTTGCTGTAGGCGCATTATTGGGCGATGTCTTTCTACATCTTTTACCGGAAGCATTTGAAAATGAATTTCAAATAAGAGGTAATTTAATTTATTCTTGGTATTCGTTCTTGTGCGCAACAATATAACTAAATATACCTATCTTATCTCGTAAGACAATTTTAACGTATCATAAAAGATATTATAATACAGTGATGTGTATATCACATATTATTGATAAGAGTGATCTTATCGTAAAAGATATAAGGAGAAGACGATTACAATATGCCGCGGATGAATAGAATTGTTTTAAGAATAATAAGTAGAAGTAAAACAAATTTATGTATAAAATTTTAAAACACTCGGTTAATTTTTAATTATTTAAAACACTTAGTTATGCAATTAATAAACAAACAAATAAAACGGAACATATAAGGTATGAGAAAACGAATATTAGGAGAAAACGTTATCGAAAAAATCAAGTAGTCCGCAGATCTACGTTAATGAACTTTTGCCCTGATATTTTTGTCATCGCGAAATCTGTTCAGCTGGATCGTTCTATGTAATATCGCACGCGTATTACATGCTCTGAATGCGTTTTGCAACGTTCTGCACGTTAGCAGAGTACAGCTGCGGTCTCGAAGGGCATCACCGAGAGCTTTATGAACAATTTAAGCGGCGGCTTCGAATTCTATTGTGCATCAGTTGCAGATCTGAATTGCCAGTTGCGTCCACGTAAATTAAATGTCCTTCCGACCAAACCGCGTTAGGAATTCGAGGTGATCGGCGGACTGGTAATATCCGTGTAAATGGTTCGATTTGAATTGCAGATTTTCTAGATTTCATTTTATATTTCTCACTTCTTTGTTACCAATAGAAAAGAGTACTATGACAAGTTCTGTAATTTAAATGAATACTAAATATTCATTAAGAAAACAATGTAATTATGTATCTATATGGATAAAGCTTATTTATTGATATTATGAACGTGCGCAATTAAATTTAAATAAATAGTGTATCTTCATATGAACTGATTACAAAATCGTAACACTTGACTTATTCTCGAATTCTTTTTATTTGTATCCAACTTATCTATTTTAATTTTAATTACAGCTAAAGATAATCACGCATCTACACCTGCTGGCTTGTGGGTATTGTCCGCCTTTTTGTTCTTCGTAATCGTTGAAAAACTTATCGCTACTGTAAACGAGGAAGCCCCAATCATAGTAGAGCAACAGACTGATGAAATTCTGATCGAGGATACAAATAAAGAAAAAGAAATGGATAATAATAATTGTATCACGATGACGAGCACTGAGAAAAATGGTTTATTAAAAAAATGTTTGAAAAATACAACCCAGGTAATACAATTAAAAAAGTTCTATTATAATTATTTAAAATTAGTATTTGTGTATATACAATATATTATATTATAATATAGAATGTTCCAGTTTTTTTTTTTGCAAAACTTTACCAGCTTATTCTACAAGTAAAAACAACAAAAAAATATATTATATAGTTGTCCAATCGAATGTATTCTGCGATAGGTACAATTTCTGGAGAAACAATCTAATAAGGTGGAGTTTGTTCAAATGCTGAACGGTATCAAAGATCTACGAAAGAATGGTTTTAAAGATGCTGACTTTATGAAATCTGCATTAGCAAGCGAATGTCCTAATGACGGCCCGCTGGTTGACGAGGCGAAAAACTGCTTGAAGAAACTCGCGAAGACTAACGGCTTCACATCAGCGATTTCACATGTTGACTCTCCATGCGTACGCTCACCAAGCAATATTGTTAATTGTTTAACCGCATGGACAAAAAAATTCACCTTTGACTTTCGCAAATTTTTCGATCCCAAAGCCTTTCCCGGATACCTAAATCTTTTGATGAACTTCCTTGACAATTTTACTCACGGTTTATCTGTGGGTGGATCGTTCCTAATTTCCTTCCGTGTAGGTGTCCTCAGTACGTTCACTATTTTGGTGCATGAAATACCTCATGAGGTTGGCGATTTCGCTATTTTATTACGAAGTGGATTTAGCAAATGGAATGCTGCGCGGGCGCAGTTAATCACAGCTAGCGGTGGAATCGTTGGTGCTTTGGCAGCCGTCTCCTTTTCTAGTAGTTTAGGTAAATATCTTTAAAAATTTGTGAAATGCAAGTCTATAAAAACTTGATAAAAATAATGTAATAAAATAAATTAATCTAATAATAATATAATTGCACACTTTTTAGCTTAATGATAAAAATGTTAATGTTGCAAACATTGTATTTTTTTTAATTTGAAACAAAATTTCTGTGCCATAGATAATCTTATTAATAGTATCTATTATCTATTACATGGAATTTATTTTATCGAATAGAATTTATAAATTTATATCTGTTTTTTTTTGCAGAGGAAAGAACCAATTGGATATTACCATTGACCGCAGGAGGATTTATACATATTGGTTTAGTGACCATCCTGCCCGATTTGTTAAAAGAAACGAATACAAAAGAGTCTTTGAAACAATTTGGCGCTTTACTTTTGGGAGTTGTTATCATGGCTGCATTGATCTATATTTAGATCAAATATATTTCATTAAAGAATTATAGTGAATTCAATTGCCGCAGTACATATTAAAGTCGTGTATTGTGCACAAGTCTAATTTAAGTATAAATTTTATTTATTATAAAGAATATTCATCGTTGTTAAATTAAACGAATTAGGCTCATACCCCTTCTTCCATATCATTATTTATTTATTGAGCCTTGTTACTTATATTCATTTTGAATTATAGAATATATAATATATTTCAACAATAAAATCTAGTGAATATTTCGTGATTTAACCCGGTCCTATATTTATATTAAATATACATCTTTATGTCAATTTGTGCATGATAACTTTAATATGTATTAGTGTGCACTAATGTATACAATCGAATTCGCTATTAGTTATGCAATTCTATCATGTTGATGTAAATTTCAGTTCTGTTATCGCTGAGTTAATAGAAAAATAGAAAAAAACACATCTCAAAATTAGCAACTCTTTACACTAGAATATTTTTACAATTCTGAATTGTGAAATAACACTTTAATCAGAATAATGACTATGCAGTTTCTTTAACTTTGCTTTCCTTCCATATTATTCTTTCAAGTACAATATGTTCTTTAAAATTAAATTATGAATTTTCGAAATTTGAACATTGCAAACTTAGTACAATCATACAGTATGTATTTCACCCTTGTTTATATTAACAAGTGAACTACAACTGCATCATTTTTTCCACAAAAATATATTAGTTTTTAGGGACACTTTCCTCATTACCGTAAAAATATTTTTTTGTCACATTTCTATTAACACAGCGACATGTATCAGTACAATATTCTGAAGAAGAGTTGCCATAAGATTATATAATAGATACTTTTTCTCTCTATATTATTTAATGAAAGAAGACGTGCATACAGGGAACGCTTTAACACTTAACACATGAAATTGCACGCGTATCAGAGAACATATGAGAAAAAAATGTGAAGAAGTCATGTAAGAAAATATGAAAAGGCATGTTAAAGCATTCCTGTTCCCATCTGTACATACAGCGTCACAAATACCTTGACGCCTTAACATGTTTTTTTTATGCCTTTTCATTTTTTCTCATGCTTTCTTCTCATTCTTTCACCGATACTCGTGCAAATGCGTGTTGAGGCATTTCATATGTAGTAAAGCATGCTATGTCTTATTTTCATCATCATGAATGACATGTTTATTTGGAATATCGAGTATGTAAAAATAATTTTTGTTTAAACCATACATAAAAGAGTCTATTGTCACTGTTCTTTCTTTCTTAATAATCCAATTTCCATTTCGAGTTAAGCAACAAGGGCTAAATAACTGAAAGAATTTTGTATTAAGAATATTTTTTAATAATGATGAAATATTAATCTATTCTGATACATAAAATATTAGTCCATACTAATGAAATATTAGCGCATTCTTTCAGTTAATACTATAGAGGGAAAGAGCAAGAAAGGAGTGAGTGAGTGAATGAATGAGTGAGAAAACGAAATGTGAAATAAAGAATTTGTATACTATTTTATCAGAATTAAATTACTTGCCGCGTTATGACAAAATAACGTAAAAATACTGTTATATTTCATACAATTTATATTGGAAACATACATAAATATGGAAGTTTTTCATAGCTAAGATGATATTAATATTATTTTTCAGTTTGTATTAATAGATGACGACTGAGGTATGATATATATATTATAGTTTTATGTGCATATTTTGAATTTTTATAATATTTTTTTGTGCTGTGAATATTTACTTCAAAATATAAAACTATATTTCACAAATAATTAATATCAAGTATAAAGTAAATTGTAAATCTAAGATTTTTCATATTGTCAAAGTTTTTAGTTCTTTAATTTAAATTTAAAAATTGAAATTATAGTTTAAATATATAACTTGAAAATATATGTAAAAAAATTTAATAACAAAAAGTTGCATATAAATTTTGTGAAATCCAAGTTATTCAGTATATATTACAATATTGGATTTGTAACACGCGCGCGCGCGCACACATATATGTATATATATATATACATATAATTTTTAATTAGTATTTCCCTGTTAGTAGAAAGAAGCTGGGTAATATCAGTATTTACAATAAACTCATATATTTGTTTGCCATAAATTATATACAAATGCACAACAAAAATTCACATAGTTATTTTGTCATTAGTAATGTGATAACAAATATAACAATTTTATGTACATGAGGCTATGAAGAAAAAAAATTATAATAGCGTTAAATAAGTTCCTTTTTATTCATTGCAATTTAATTGTAATAAAATAATATACAAACTCTTTCCTTTTTCTCTTGCTCTCAAGTTTTATAAATTCCGAGTTTAGATATAGCAACCTTTCTAACCATATTTAATAAAACCTGTAAAATCACGTGTAGAAACGTGATTTTGACTAAAAGAGTAAACTAGACAAAATAAACTTAATTATGTTCCTTTTATCTACGCCTTTACTAATTAGTATTAAATATTCACAATATATATTCTTATATTTCAAACTAAATACATTAAGAATCTACATACGTAGTATATAAATTCACACGAAATTAGAAGCATCCAGTTTGACCGTTACGGCATGTTCTCATCGGTATTTAGTTTAAATTCTCATGGTCTAATAAAATATTGTTTCTTTTATTTTGTTACAAATATTCATGGCAGAAAGGAAGCTCTAAAAAAAATTCAAAATATGCATAAACCTCTATAATATATTTGCATCTTCATCGATATTTAAAAAAATTATATGGTAATAATAAATAATACATATTTTCATTAAAGCATAACAAAAGACATAGTTATATATTGCGTCAAGTATTGGTATATCCATAAAAGATACTACGTTGCGTATCTTTTTCAGATCGAGCTTCGTATTTCGTTAGATATTTAGAATATAATTCAGATATAAAATTTAGAGAAATATATATACCTATGGGATATAAACTTTGTTAAATTTTCAATTTGTAAAGACGAGCAGAAGAAATGTAGCTGTTGTAATTTTCTCTTGGCAGCCTCGTGTATCATGCGTAATGTTCATACTTTATGAGTTACAAAAAATAATGCAACCCTTGTACTTAACAGGTAAAAAACAAGGTATTATTTTATTCACAGAATGCGTGATACAAGAGTGCTCTTTCTTGCACCTGTAAATAGAAACCCTATTTAGGGAACTAGTTAAAATTAACATCTTTTACAAAAATATTTTCTATGTATCATACAGTTATATATAAATGAAACTGTTCATATCTATGTAATCTCTAATTCGCTATGATTTGTAAATAAAATATGCTATTCTGCGATTGTTCATATTTTATACTTCTTTTATATTAAATATATGCTACAGGAACTTTCAGATAATAACATGTGGCAAATAATCGGTACAAAATAATTTATTAAATAATTATTTCTAAAACAAAAAATATAACAGTTATTCATACTTGCTATGTGATAGCCAAATGTATAACTAAAGTCTTAGACATATTTTATGTACACATATCTCAGTCGTTTTATTTCTCAAATGATATTTTTTCTAGTTATTCCTCACATAATTATGAGGTATATATGAAATATATTTTAATTGAGCTGATTAAATCAAATATTAAAAGTTCTCGTCTCATTTTGAGATTAAAACACAGGCGTTGAATTATTTGATAGGCCAATAGAGGAAAACTTACAACGGAAAAATCGCTGCAATTACAACTACTATACCATTTAAACAATGAATTAAAGTTTAACTGACATCTAATGACTAGTATTTTATACTTTGAATGTAAGAGACAAAACATTTCAATGATCAATCCTGTAAGTATGACAAATATTATTTACAGTAGGAATAGAATAGACACCTTTAGAATAACAAAATATTTTTTTTATACTTAGATTTTCCTTAAGATCTGGACATTGTAGCTAATCATTTTCATTTGCAGATAATGTTCTCTTTTACAAGACTATCTTAATAATTACTATGATAATAATTTTAATTTTCTTTCTTTGACAAAACTTTTTACACTGACAAATGCATATTAAGTAAGCCCTATGCTATTGCACATTATTGCATATCTATTAACGTAAAACTGGAATTTAATTTATAGTCTTTGATATACTTTCGTATATTTTTAATTACCTTAGACATTAACTTATATTCATAGTTCATCATGAGGTGCTTCAAAAATAGTTTCTTTTAATCTTTCAATCAGTAATATTAAACTCCTTAAAACGTCTGTTTCATCTACAGTGAGTTTAATACTAGGATTTTGATAAAAATGTAAGAGGTTATTTATAACAGGTAAAAGCAAAACCTCGATATTCTTAAATTCAGTTTTACAAATAGGAGATATTGTGATCATACTATCTGAAACTACTTCGAGAAAATCGTTATTTTCTATACTGAATTGGCCAGTTAACTTTTCTTTGAAGCATTTGACCATTAAGTTGCTTAAGAGTTTACAGTAATCGTGCCTCAATAATTTTAGCTCAAAATCTGTAAGAGCGTACTCCCTCATTCTCTGTTGACGCTGTTCGGCATCATAGATTTCTTCTAGATTTCGCCTTTCGATTGTTAGATCGTTAATTAGTTTCATTGCTTTCATTTGTATATGTAATTGATCGTCGTATAAAATCTTTCCAAGTAACTGCAAACCGCCATGATCAATCCAAGCTTTCTGAGCAGCAGGAAACTGGCGTATTAAGGCACTTAGAGCAAAGAGACATCTTGATTTTACTTCAATTTTATTATTCGTAGACAAGACGTGCAACACTTTTTGAATAAAATCATTTTCTAATGCCTTAGCTTGCACTTTTGGATTTGATTGGGCGGCTGCTCCTAGAAGACGTAATGCTTCCGATTTTATTTCATTATAAGTTCCATTAAGACATGGTGATATGATCTTAGTCAACCTACAATGAAAAAAAAGTTGAAATTATATCAGTAAATTGATGTTTTCTAAGGAAAATTATATTCATTTTTACTTACCCATCCATGTCTGAGAATACTTTAGCATTGTCTATTTGATGAAGAAGGTACTCTAAATTGTTTAATATGTCTAATACTCGTT